CAAAAGCAAAAAATCGCCGAGCACGCAAACACGAGTCTAACCTTTATGTCTCTCACATAAAAACAACACATACTATATAGTCAAAACTGTGAACATATGATCGTGACGAGTGTACCAACACAACAACAAAAAATTTTTTAAATTAGAGTGTACAAAGCGCGCAAAATTCAAAAAGTCACCTTACTTTTTGATCACACCTCGTATAATGTGTTTATTACCCACATGTGTTGTGTAAGGTTTTGAACACGGCAATGCTCGATAAAATTGACGGCGATGAAATTCTACTGATAGCAGAAGATGATATCGATTGTGCTCCAGTAATGAAAAAAAAAGTATACAAAATTTTGGAAGACAAAGATGATAAAGTTTCGAAAACAGCTAGTATTGAAAGAGTAATAGCGATTAAAATTGGCGCTAAAGTGATGATTTGACGAAACATTGATGTAACTTGTCAATGAAACGATATGCAATGTAATTGCAGTTAATCGCTCTGTTGATGGAAATCGTATTAATTCCATTAAAATAGTTATTTCGGATAACAAAGAACGAAAGTAGGTATTAAATTCGAAGTATTCCACAAAATGGTACATCGGAAACAATTTCCATTGTCTTTCAGTTATGGAATAACTGTACACGAAAGTCAAGGAATTATGTGTAAAATTAACGTGTAAAAATGCAATGATGGATCTAGGAACGAGTGTGTTCAATGATGGTCAAGTCTACAAGTATGTAGGTTTATCATGAGTGAGCACACTAGAAGGCCTACATTTGATAAATTTCAATCCGGCATCCGTTAAAGCAATCTCGGGAGCATTGTAAAATATAATCGATTGAGATCTGTGTTCAAAGCTCAGCTACCACAAATCAATTCGTCCGAGAAAAAGGTTGTGAAAATTCACGACTGTCGAGATGGGCCATACCTAATATCATTGATGATGTACAGAATTATAATTGCGAGGAACCAGAAAGTATAGTTACATAGAAAATATACCTCTCTGCAATGACGATCATGTTTCGTGTTACACTAATGTAATATTGCAATGTGCGTTTCATTGTATACGTATCAGATAACAAATACGTACCGAAAAACAAAGTATCGAACGCATTGACTGATGCTATCTGCGCGTATGCTGAGCGTAAGTGTTGCAATATTCTATCGGTTAAAAAATCTGTCGGAGAACGCTTCGAAGAACGAATACAAAAGAATGTTTCAGAATTTTTCACGGCTCAAATGTCGACGTATTCCGAAATAAATGATGTATTAGAACTCGATTTGGAGCACGTAACATCTTGTTCAAATGCCAGATGTAATTACAATGTAACTACGCTGGAAAAGAGTTGTTTGTTAATATTACCTATATAGTCGACATTAAAAAGGAAAAAAGGTGTCACTCTGCAAACTTTGATTGATTTAAAATTTTCGAAACGATAAATGGTAATTGTAACGAGTGTAAGGGTACCGTTCTGAAAAAAAACCATAATCGAATCGACTTTATCCGTCTTAGTAATACAACTCAATTTATATACTTTTCTAAACGGTGCTTCTAAAAAAATTATCGGATTAACGCCGTACCGACGAATACTGTCACGATTAATAAAAAAAAGTACAAGGTAATAAGTGCTATATTTCACGAGAGCGAAAAAATGAATCGTGGTCACTACACGTGCATGTTGAGAGCAAAAAATCGGAATGGTGTTACTCTAATGATTCACAAGTTCTCAAAAAAAATGGTCTAAAGGAGCACAAGAAACATACATATTGTTCTTGGATCAGATTAAGTAAGTTTGGAAATAATTTTTACATATAATGACACTTTCTGAGAATATAACGGAATTCTTCTAGTACATTTACGTGAACCTTAATAAATTATTGAAGTTTATAATTAAATTTTATTTTCAGAATACTAAAAGAATTAATCGTCTGCTTTGGCGCTGTACGAGTATAAGGGTTGCCGTAAGTGCGAAAATAATACATCGGGTGCTCTGACACTATATGAAGGCTGTCGTAAGCGCTGCATTAAAATGAGTGCAATAAAGTTCTGGCTTGCCCTATGTATATACGATATACATATTACTATGAATAATAAAAATTTCTTATCATAGTCGAAGAACTTTATGATATTTCAGAGTATCATTAAGAAATAAATCTCTATATCAAAGATCGTATTAAAGTCGAAAAGACGAAGAAAATGTGGTTGCGTTCTCACGAGAATAGGTGGAAGAGCCAATTCTTCATTTTTAGTACATACATACAATCCGTATGATCTAGATTTTAACGGTGCTCGTCATGAGTGCTTTGAGACCTACCTTTTTAAGATACAGCGTAACGCGTCATCGATTTGTGCGCATTGTCATGCAACTGCGGATACGGCGAACACACGCTGTTGTTTTGCCCGTCTTGAATCGCAGAGAAGACGCTTTTTGAACGGGGCTCGATGTCCTTGACAGGACATACGGCTCCATTGTCAGGGCGGCTATGTGCTCCGCTGCGTGTTGGACAGCCTTCGCAGATTTCTGCAAGGCCGTCATGCGCAAGAAGGAGCGGACCGAGTGGGAGCGTCAAGCTCTACAGAGGCAAAGGGCTCTTTTAGCTCGGACCTCTTTGGAGTCTGACGACACCATGTTTAAAAATGTATATATAATGTACATGTTTACGATTTAGTGTTTATAATATAATATAGGATAGGATTCTAGCTTTAAATAGTATAGCGGACCTGGAGATGAGAGTATATTCGACTTGGGTGCACCCTGAAATGCCGGGCGGTTCCGAGATGTGCCCAATGTGGTCTTGGGGAGGTGCTGAATAGGGGGAGTTTTTTAGCAGGTAGGCAATGATATCTGCTGTCCTTCCTCATAGGAGGGACGCAGACTCATCGAATCCTACACAATCAGGAAACCAGTTCCTGGGTGTCTTCCCCTCATCAGGTTAGATTCTCTTTCGGGAGTATGAAGATCTATATGAAGATTTTTCTCCTCCCCGCAAACAAAAAAAAAGTATATTCATACAATGTTAAAAACTCATTCTGTTGCAATCAAAATAAATATTAAAGGTCGTGTTAAAATCAAAGAGACGAAAAAGATATGGCTGCTTTCTCACGAGAATGAGCAATGGAGGGGCTCATTCTTTATTGTAAGTGTATTCATAGAATATTAAGAATTCATTCTGTTACAATTAAAATAAATATGTAACGTATGGTCAATATATTACCATGACAAGTAACTAATATATTATTAAAGGTGTCAGTTCAAAATAAACATACATCAAGTGTATCCTGAAAAATTTAAACTTTTAAAAATTTAAATGATTATCTGATAATATATTACCAAATAATTGATATGTTATCAAAGTTGTCAGTTCAAAGTGAACATACATATAAGTGTATCCTCGAAAATTTAAACCTTTAAAAATTTTAATGATTATCTGATGATATATTGGCATGACAAATATAATAACTAATATATTAATAAAGGTGCCAGTTCAAAGTGAACATACATATATTTATAAAGTGTATCCTCAAAAATTTCAACCTTTAAAAATTTAAATTATTATCTAACAATATATATTACCATGACAAGTAACTGATATATTGAAGGTATCAATTCAAAGTAAACATACATAAAGTGTATATATTATTTAAATTTAATATAATATATTATTATGAAAAGTAACTCATATGTTATTGAAGATGCGAGTTCAAAACGAACATACATGTAAAACAGATTACAATTTGATTCTAGAAAATAAGTGCGATATGTTATCCTTAGTGCACAAAATATAACAGTCGTTTATTAAAATTGGATTTGAAATTTATACTAGGCCGTACAATGAAAAATAATTGCTTGTAATTCTAGAGTACCAATTTGTTAATGCCTCGGAAAATGAACATGGCGGCCTGTTTTCAAAAAACTTTTGATTTATAGAATATTGAAATAAAAAAGTTATAAAAAACCTCCTCTTTTTTTAATAAAATTTCGAATTTTCGTATCAACTTCCGATTTTGAGTTTATGCTGTATTTTCAGCGAGCGATTTATTGATCAAAAAATGTTGCCTTATTGTCCGAAACGAGCAAATATTAAGTAAACCCAAAATTCATAAATAAGTTCTCCAATCAAATACAAAGAAACTATACGGTTAAAAAGTTTACTGATTATTTGATGTAATATATATTCACTTTGTTATAGAGCTTTTGTAATTATCGTTCTAATGTAATACTTTTCGTACTTCGAATATTGTAATTGAGGGGATGGGCGGAATAAAGGTCTAATTACAAAATCTTCATTTTAATAAAAATTACTTACTATTTTTTACTAACTATTTTTTACTAACTATTTTGTAACTATTATGTCCTTTAAGATATATTATAAAAGATTTTGCTGGAGCAAATAATAGCTAATATTAACTTTAATAGCTTTAATATTAACTTTAATATCACAGTTAAACAAGTCTGAATGATATTCTCTCTATACTAATTAATTCTTTCATAAATTGTTGTAAAAATTGGAATTATTTGATTTCTTTTGACCATAAAACAATCCGACTATATGCACTTGATTTAAAATATCGTCTAATACTTTAATCGTCTGGTCTAATATTGGCCAGAAATTACTTGGCGATGATCTGAATAATGGCAAGCTATCTATGTCAATTAATAAATTTATTTCGGATATCTTCATACGCAGCAGAAGTATTTTCAAAGTGTTCGATAGATCAAAGTGATAATACGATCCTCCCGATAATGCAACTATTTCAGCAGTTTTCTTTGGTGTTTTTAGAAGCGTTCTTGCGTCTTTCGTTAAAGTTTTGAATAGTGAAAAGCATGCCTCAGAATTTCCATAAGAGCATTAATTGGATTGTGATTAATTTTAAATTCAAAAGACCAAATTTGAAGATTGCGCAACAATTCGTTATCCATACTTTTATTTTCATTGTCTATATATTTGTTTTGTGTTTGTAATGCTGGTGTCATCTTTTATGGAAGCTCGCCAAGGCGACGTGTAATAACGACGATTCTCTTTGTTGTAATAATTTAAACTTTATTAAGATTATTACAATATTAAGACTTGTTCTTAAAGCGGTAGACAATACTCTTAATAAATCCGATAATTGAGGTGTTCCGTTAGATGCGTGCACAAGTGATCCGCACTTGTGTACGACGTTGAAGAATTTCTCGCAGTAGTTAAAAGGAATGCGTACAGCGAGCAGCAACGAGACCGGCAAATCTCATCGGAAACTCAGGTAAGAGGTAGGTTTCCCGCGCACTGAATGCCCTCGCGGTACGCGTAACGTTCGTGACACAATACAGCGATGTTATGCGATGACAATTCGGTTTGATTTGCAAGTAATGTTCGGGATAAGATTCGCTAAGAACGAATATCGATGATCCGTATTGATCCGGGATCGGGCAGCGAACTGAACATTCGCACTCGGAACATGTGCGCGATAGTCAGCTTTTCGGGTGTCGCGAGCCATTTGAAATAGATAGCGTGATTAAAACAGGAGCGAGATATACTCATGTTTTGAACGGTGACGGCTCGGTATCGATGAGCTGTTTACTTGCCATCTCCGAGAATACATTTAAATTAACGATGATTCCGGAACATAGCGCCCACCTCGAATGCAGGCATTCGAAATAATTCGCATCAAAGCAAGATACAATAATAGTATAACGACGAAAATGATTTGATACAGAATACAAAGATCGTGACGCAATACAATCAAAACTTAAAGTTCGTGACAACGATAACATTAGGTACGTTTAACGGAAACTCCGCCCGCCGTGACGGAATCTTTAGATTCTTCGGTATTGATTGTGACGAGTAGAAAACAAAGTTTCACAATCGGTCCCTTGTTCTCGGAACAACCTGTTTTCACAGTTACGACGCGAGTTAAATCGTCATGCCATAATCCGGCCAAGTTCCCATTGGCTCGCCAGAGGGTTACGCACGAGGACGATTTGGTCAACCTTAGTCAGTCGCTGGACAACGCGCCATTTTGGGCATTGTTGAAGGGTGTACAAGTAATCATTGGACCAAGACCTCCAAAAACCTTCGATTATATGTTGAACCATTTGCCAACGCAAAAGTCGGTTTTCATTTAAGTCAAGCACGCTTGGTTCGGCCAAAAAATGACCGGGGGTCAGAACGTGATAGTCGTCGAGATTATCGGAAACGGAGCGATCGGGTGCGAATTAAGGCACGTTTCGATTTTACAGAGGAGCGTAAACATCTCTTCAAAAGTTAACGTGTGGAGACCGATGCATCGTTTTAAATGATGCTTGACTTTTAACGCCGGCCTCTCACAGGCCGCCAAAGTGCGGTGTCGTAGGGGATAGGAAGGCCACACAGTTCCATCGGTAGCGAATCGGTTGTGAAAGTTGGAATCGCGAATTGCTTCTACATGTGCATCGGACAATTCGCGATCGGCGCCGTGAAACATGATTCCGTTATCGGACGTCGGTAATCCTCGGCGAGGAACAAATCGTTGATACGCTGCTATAAAAGTAGAAGAGGTATAATCGCTGACGAGCTCTAAATGCAGAACTTTGGTCGTGAGGCATACGAATAAATCGATATAGGTCTTTTGCGATTAATGTCCTCGACCGCGAGTCATTCGGACAGCGATAAGGACAGGCGTAATCGACGCCGGTATGAACAAAGGCATGAGCGGTGCGATTGACTCTCGCAGCCATGAGTTCGACGGGCACATCGGCGCGTTCACGCGTGCATGGTATACACTTATAAAAAACGGATTGAACGGTGGCGCGGGCCCAGAGAATCCAGAATTCGTGTCGCAATGACGCGAGCGTCATTAATTGAGATTCGGAGTGTTGCTTGCCCATTTTTGAAGGCGAAAGCCTCCTTTCTTTAGTAACTCTATCAATTGATCGCGTGTTTGACGAGCAATAATTTGATCGTGTGCACCGAAAGCGCAATCGTCAACATATGTCTGATGACGTAAAACGAGATGCCGGAGTAATCGTAATTTGAGCAGCGTGACGCACGACGAATTGCATTTCGCTGATGCCGATAATGGAAACAGAGCGATTAATTCTTGAAAGGCGTAGGCGTTGAGCAAGCGATTCGGAGATAAACGTAGAGACAGATCTCTGAGGGCGCGAACAGTGATAAAACGTTTATGAATATACTCACATGCGTGCTGTCGCGAGTAATATTTTGGAGCTCGACGCTACGGTTTTCGATAATAAGTGCGTAGCGACGGCGGTGACACTCTCGCTACTCGTGGGTGCGGACGTCAACGGTAGCTTAGTGTCGACAGGCTGAACGGAATTATCAAAACATAGCAACGTGTGCTGTCGTTTACTGCACTGTCGACACGCGCGAGAATTTGTATAATCTTTCACAGAATGCTTCGCACTGAAACAGTTTACACAGCGTTTCTGGTTTTTTTTAATAAATTCAAAACGTTGGCATGGAGTTTGCTTTAGGAACGTAGAACATTGATACAATAGATGGTTCGCTTTGCATAATGAACATAAGAACGATAGACACGATATGCAAGGCAAAAATTTTCTTTTTGGAGGTCGTCTGTGACTTCTCTCTTGCGTTCACGGGTGCAATCGCGTCGAGCGCGCGAATGCGCGATGCAAGAAATTGATCAAGTTCGCGATAATGCGAGTAATCTACGGTATCGCCGAGTTTAAATTCCCAAACTTTTCGCGATGACTTATCGAGTTTTTGTGACACTAAAAAAACAAGCTAATCATCCCAATGTTCGGTAGCCCAACTGAGATTGCTCAGAACTCGTATCGCTTTTTTGGTTTGATCGCGAAGAGGACGAAGACCATGGGAGGTTTTTGTCATGAGCGACAGTAAGTTGAAAAGCGATTGTAAATGTATCGTAATAAGGTGACGTTTATTGTCGTATCGGGAAACGAGAATATTCCACGCGATAGTGAAATTATCATTGGTTGGTCTAGGGCGTTATTTCCTTTTACACAGGAACACAAATAATGCATGCACTCGACATTCATTAAACTCTGATCATCATGGATCATCGATTTAAATTTATCGCTTTTCCCATTTATCAAAACTCCCGTCGAAGGTCGGCAAGTTGATCCTCGGAAGATGCGACGATGACCGGAACGAGTTATTAAGATCACTTACATCATGTGCAGTAGGACGGGATTCTCGGACCTCGTGACAGTCCAGTACCTTAGCCATGTAGTGTGGCAGCTTCGTAGTAAGTTCTCACACGTCAATAAGTAGTTCTAGGTAAAGTATTCATAGTTTGCCTTTAATTTCTTGTCCGCAGCTAGCGTGATTTTACAATCCAGCTCTTGGCATCTGATAAAGGTCTCCTTGAGGGTTGCTAAACGGTGCCGCGTGTTATCTTGGCCTGTCCCAGCTTATTAAAATTAGTGAGTGTGCGAGATATAGCGCCCATCTGTTTTTGTATACTCATCAGTTCATCGAGAGATGGCATGATTTTCCCTCGCGGTACGCGTAACGTTACGTGATACAATACAGCGGTGATACGCGATGACAATTCGGTTTGGTTCGCAATATAATGTTCGGGATAAGATTCGTTGAGAACGAATATCGGTAGATGATCCGTATTGATCGGGATCGGGCAGCGAACTAAACATTCGCACGCGGAACGTGTGCGCGATAGTCAGCTTTTCGGGTGTCGCGCAAGGGGAGTCGCGAGCCATTTGAAATAGATAGCGTGATAACAGGAGCGAGATATACTCATGTTTTGAACGGTGATGACTCGGTATCGATGAGCTGTTTACTTGTCATTCCCGAGAATACATTTAAATTAACGATGATTCTGGAACAATATTCAATATTCATATCATTTGCATCGTCACTTGAATCATCAGAGTCAAACGATAACGGTTGCATTCCTTCTTGTTCTCCAGTATCAACAAAATCTTCGTTATCTGCGACCACTTCTGATGAGTCATATACTTCATCCAATAAAAATTCTTGTTCATCATTATAGTTTGGCAGATTGATATGCTCCTGATTATTATTAAGAGAAGGTGATACTGAAACTAATGATTGATCATCTTCATTTTTAATTCAGCATTTTTTTGCAAATTTTGCCGATGATCCAAAATAAGTTATAATTGCTTAATGATTCTAGTAACAAGTAATCTTTTTCCGTTTCTTCTTGTGTTAATCGTCTTTTATGTCTCGAAGAAATAATATGGTCGTTTCTTTTATTCATGGTATTATATAAAAATTATTTAAATATATAACCAATAGAAGAAAATTAGATATGCATTTATTGTTATTGTAAAGCAGTTACATACATTCAACTGTGTTCAGTATATTCAAATAGTATGTTACAAAATAAGAATTACTTACCTTTGATTTAATACTATTTAATTTAGATTATTTTTAACTATTTAATTTAGTTAAATTTGTTTTACTCGAACAGAATTGTTTCAGTATCAAAGATCCAAACTTGACTGAAATAATAGCGTCTTTATTTCTTGATTGTTGTGTGTTCACATTACGGTCTAATATGATACATTAATTTATTTATTCTTAGATTCAGATAATAAACCGCGCACACAGAAACTTGTTTAAAATTGTTCGTTTATATGATTTTAATGTTATGATGACGATCGATTCTACACTACGGTACGCCATCTTATGACGTATTATTACATTCTGTTAAATATGTATCAAATATCTATCTTACAACTTCTCCCTCTTTTTCCAGCCCCAGATTTCCACCCCATAAATCACCATGGTCCATATCAACGCGTCAAATATTCTTTTCTTCCAATCATTGCCAAATCTTTTTTCCAATCCTCTATACCTGTCCCATCATTGCCGCCGCCTCTTGGTCTGAAGCGTTCGCACGCACGCTGTAATGTAGCACTGTCCATGCCGATGAATGCTGCCTCAATGGCGGTCCTTAATGACGTCACATTGGGATGTCACATTGGGATGTTGTTTGTGACCCATTCAACTATGCTCCATATGAGTACTAGTCCAAGAGATTTAAATCTGGGCTGTTGAGAGGCCAGAATTCCTTGGACCAAACATATCGATGTTGTCTGAGAGTTAATTTTGAATCAAATGATTCGTATGAGTCATCCTGCTGAAAAACATACGACCTTCCGGACGTCACATTTTTCATCCACGGCTTCACTACATCCATCAGAATGGACAAATACATTTCTTTTGTGGCAGTTTTCCGTTTTTTAAAGAAACGTGTGGTAACATGACATCACTCTCACTGGACACAACACCGAGCACATGAATATTGACCGGAAATATCGTTCTGACAACAAACAAGGACATTCTCGGGATTGTAGGCGAGCCATCGGTCATTCCTCCAGTTGATTTTGACATCAACAACAGTAAAAATTTTTTCGTCAGAAAAGAACCTGATTCGTCCAGGCACTTCGTTTTTCAAAGAATACAATAGCAGATTACAACGAGCAACTTGGCTTGTCCTGGCAGCCTCAGAGAGCATCTGTCATATCTTTAATGTGTACGATTTGTATCGAAGGTCTTCCTCGGCAATTCGACGCATTGGCTCGCTTACACCAATAATCGATGCTAATTTTCGCAACAATTGCCTTGGGTCATCCGAAATCAGCGTTTTAGCCCTTTCAACGACTGCAAGACTCCTCGCAGTGCGTTCTTTCGAGTGAATCTTGGCATACTGAAACCTTCGTTGGACTGTTCTAAAGTCGTATATTTTGCCACAACGTCATAAACTGTTGGTCTCGGGTATCCAAAGAACCGAATTATTTCCTTGCTGAGCGTCCAGCGCGAAGGCCTTCGATGATCGCGGCTCTTCGATTATACTCCGCATTTGGTTTCAACATTGCAGCCATTTTGAAGATGTGATTGTTTACTAGAAGCATCAGGCTTTCTCGAACGCCAACAACAATCTCTAGCGGAGGCACAATATAGCGGAAAATTTAAGAAATTTGTCCAGATTTTGATGACGCACTCTGTATATATTATCCAGCGTTTCCATCCCTTTTCTAAAGCCCGCTTGATTCAATGGAATTAACCCCTTCCCTTCTCCCTCCCTTACTTTCTCTCTTAATCTTTTCATCAACGCCGTCTTATACAATGTCGGCATTATCAATATTCCTCCCCCCTATAGTTCCTTATCTCCTTTGCCTACCCTTTTTTCATTACCGACTACCATTCCCTCCTTCCGTTACTCTGGAATCCCATCCTCCCCTTTCCATACTTCATTATATCCTCCAGATCCTCTTTCCCATACTTTCACACTTTCGTTCAAAATCCCGCCCATTTCCATTGCCTTTCCATCTTTTAATTTCCTAATCATCTTTCTTACTTTCTCCTTACTCAACTCTTTTTCTATCTCCTGCCTCCTCCTTTCTCTTTTTCCCCTTACCCCTCTCTTTTCCATCCCCTCCCCAACTCTTTGAAATATTCCTCCCACTCTCTTATCTCTATCCCCTTATTTATCTCCTTCCATTTCTTCCTTTCCCTATTTACTGTTTCTTAAACTTGTCCCTCATTCTTCGCTCCCTCCACTTCACTTTCTCACCTCCTTTTTTTTGTTAGCTTCACATAACTCCTTATATTCTCTTTTTTCTTTCCTGTACTCCTCTCCTCCCCCTATTACCTTTTCTCCACTCCCTTAATACCCTTTTCACCTCTGACTTCTTTTCTCTACATTCTATATCCCACCAGCCTCTTCTCTTCATTTCCTTTCCTCTCTCTTCTTCTGTTTTCCAATACCTCTCTTATTCTCTCTTCCACTTTCTTCAGGCTCTCATGAACATTCCCTTCCCTCCATTCCATTCTCCCTAACATTTCTCTAAATATCTCTTACTTCCCTCATCCGATACTCCCCTACATGCTCCTTTCCCTTCTCTTCCCTCTCCTCTTCTCCTATTCCTACCTCTCTTCACTGAGACTACCAATGGATGATGATCCGCATCTATTGCATCCTCTATTTTCATATAATATATCTCCTCCCTCATCTCATCTACCAATATATAGTTAATCACTGAGTCCCCCCTTTCCCCTGTATATGTCTAATTTCCTTTTTCATCTCCTTTTACATTCGCATTTAAAAAATTGATCCCTTCTCTCTTATAAATTCTACTAATTTACTTCCGTCCCTGTTTTTCTTTCTGTCTATTGATCTTTTTTTTCCTCCTCTCCCTCATTCATTTCTCTTATTCTTCCTCCATCTCTTCCTGTTCTTGTATTAAAATCTCCTCCTATCACTGTTTTTACTCCCTTTTCTTTTTCCTCCATCCATTCCGTTAGATCCTCCAACTTTCTCTTCATATCCATGTTAACATACACCCCACCATCTTTATCCTATTTCTACCCACTTTTATCTTCCCATCATCATCCTCTCAACTTCTTTCTTCTCCTTCTCGCCCTCATACAAATCCCTTTTAATACCCATCACCTCCATTGCCCTTCCTTTTATGTTTCTCTTTTTTGCGGCCTGCATCCTCTATATATATCCATGGTAGTCTCTCTCTCTTACATAATCCCTTCTCCTTCACCCATGTTTCCATTAACACCATGGCATCCCATCTTGTTAAACTTATTCAAAAGTCCCTTTATTCTTATTTCTAATCCCTGCCACATTCCAAAAAGCTATCTTTTCTCTTCCCCACCTTTTTTCCCATTTCCTCCCCCCTCCCCTTTCCTCTTTTTCCTTTAGTCCTCTGCTCCCTATTTTCATCTCTCTCCTTTCTCTGTCCTCTCCCCTAAACTCCTCTTTATCTTCTCTCCCTCTTTTCTCATCCCTATCCCTTATCCCTCTTGCCCATCTCCCTTCCTATCCCCCCTGTTCCTCTCCTCCCTTCCTTGCTCTCTCTTTTTATTTGTTCTTTTCACCATCATAAATTTTTCCTTTTCGTCCCATTTCTTTTCTCTACCATCCCTTAGTTCTTCCCTCTCTTCATCTCATTTCCACCATTCTCCTTCAATCCATACTCCCTCCCCCGTCCCATCCTTGCTTTTCTCCCCTCCTTTATAACCGTATGTCTCATCATCCATCTCATCTTCCTTTCTTACCAAGTGAAATCTTCCTCAATCCACATATCCCTTCTCTTCAGCTTCCATTTATTTCTTATTATATTTCTCTTATTTTCTAAACTCCCCAATGTTACCACCACTATTCCACCCGCTCTCCTGTTTTTATTTTCTTCCTTATCTTCTCTATATTCGCCCTCACTTCTATTCTTCCCATTATTTCTTTAACCTTATTCTCTATTTCCTTTTCTCTTATATTTAACCCTTTTATAATAATATTTCTTTTTCTTTTCTCTCTGTCCCTCCATTCATTCCTTCTCTCCAATCTTCTTATCCTTTCTATCCATCTTTCATTCCCTTCTCCACTTCCTATCTCATCATCATCTCTTTTTTTCACCTCCTCCTCTTTTCAATGATTTCCTTCTGCCCCTTCACTTTACCGAATTCTCTTTCCAACGTCTTTATCTTCTCAACGTCTTTCATCATCTCCTTCTTTTCTTTTTTCCATCTTTCCTTTCCCTCCTTCAACTCCTCTTTTATCTTCTCTACTTCTTTTCTCATCTCCTTTTGCCCCTCAGCTTCTCTTATTTCTTTCTTAACTCCTTTCTTAACTCCTTTTTTAATTCCCCTTCCTTTATTTCCTCCCTCATCTCTTTGAATATCTCCTTCATTCCTCCATCCTCTCCCATTTTAACCGGCGATCTTATCGTCTTCTTACACCTCCTAAAAACCTTCTCTATCTTCTCGTTTTCCATTTCTCCTCTTTTCCCCTCACTTTTTCTTTTTAAAAACTTCACTATACTTCTTAATACTTTTTAAAAACTTCACTATACTCACATATACTTCTACGTCTATCCTTAGCCAGCTTTCTAATTCTATCCATCTCTCTCTCTCTCTTTCTCTCTCTCTCTCTCCTCTCCCTCTCCCTCTCTCTCTCCTCTCCCTCCCCCTCTCTCCCTCTCTTTCTCTCTTCCTCTACCTTCTCTCGTCTACGCTTTATCTCTTTCAAACAGACTCAACCTATCCATACCTCTGTATCTCGAACCGACCCGCTATTCCTTAGTATTTGAGAACAAGAATTGTCGTAACACTTACTTAGAGACTTAAATTGTAGACATAAGTAATACATAAGCTTTGGTGTATGATGTACGACTCTCCCTCCCCCTCTCCCCCCCTTCTCTCTCTCCACTTTCACCCTTCGTTCTGCCCACTCACAAATCGTTCACTTTATCCTATCATACCGGAAACGGAAGTCCCAATAGAGAACACATATACGAGTATTTCTAAAATTCTTTTATTATAGCCTTTATGAGGATCATAAAAATGAATGCTTATAATATTTAAGTTCAATGCTTATAAATTAAATAAATTTTACATTCTTTTAAATACTTCATATTTTGATTATTTTTAATTTTTACTTTTAAGTTTTTAATAACATTATATGTTTATTCAGATTTAGGTTTATTATAATCTCGTAAAAGTATTTGCCAAAAACCTTTTGATAACATTTTTACCATTAATTCGTCAAAATCAATCTTGTTGGATAGTTGCTTGTCCAAACCAATTATAGCACTCGGTAGATCATCGGAATGCGAGTCACGGCCGATTGATTATCGACGAACTGTATTTATGTTTATTATTTTTGTTCGCCGCTAGGAGCGTATCCATGCCCTACCGGCAGGTTCTCCTTCGTCACTTATTGTCCGCGTGTGCACGAGATGAGCCGACAAGTTCGCGTAGTCCGTATAACACTTCTCACGAATTCGCTCTAATATTCTTTATATTCCCAACAAATCTTATTTTATAACTTATTCACACATATTATCATTAATAAAAAGATTTTTCCATCATTCTTTTAATATAATCTTATAAAAACTTCTTTTAAATGTTGAATATTTAATATAATAATAGTGTTATTATGAAAAAAATACTATTAAGTACGTTAATTATAAAAACCTTAAAATAAAAATTGAATAAAATTTCACTATTATTATTATTTTTATGATTCTCATGAATACAAATACTTTAGTTTTTCTTTATTATAATATTTATTAAAAAATATATTTTTAAAAATGTATTAGACTATGTAATCAATTTTCATATTGCTACTACCATGGTTTCAAAAGTTATTGAATTGAGCAGCAAACCTTTCGTCATCAATGTGCGTCACCAGTCCGTCGCGAGTTTTTCTGCTCAATAATAGAACAAGCGCCGACAGATTGATTGTTCGTCTCTGTCTATCTAGCGGAACCGAAATTCGGATATAGCGAAGAATACAACCAAAAAATCATGGACATTACCGATCGGATCATAGACATTGGCTACGTAGTTCAACGTCCACATTTTGTAGACATAGAGCTTCAAATAAAGTATAGCTAAATCCGTGGCCGATCTCAGGCTTCTCTTTGATTATAGAGGAAAGGTCTCTATTATGAGATACCGAGTTCATTTTGGGTAAATGCTATAAGTCTATAAGCAGAATTTTAAAAAATAATAGATCATTTTGAAGAAAATTTAATAAGCTTTAAGAAGCTTTAAGATAACATTATATTATTAATATAAAATTTAATTCAAATTCTATTTTTTTTCTAAAAGTAAAGAAATGTAAAAATGAGTAAATCGCAAAGTCAAAAAATTGTGCTCCTAATATGAGATGCCCCGAGAAATCGATAATAAAACGCAAAATATATTAGTATTGCAATTAAAAAACTTTATTTAATGTTTCTAAAATATAAACACAGCCAGCATGTACGCAAAATGAGCATGCGATAGATTATACTCAGAACTCGTCTTTAAGTAATTGGAATCAAGCATCGCAGATATAGGCACTCGACATTCATTCCGGTCGTCCTTTTTATTATAAATTTTATTAATAATAATTTTTAATTAATTTTATTAATTAATTTATTAATTTTCACTATGACATAGGAGCATATGTTATTTCATATTGTATTAGAAATACCGTGGGTATCTCATATTACGATTTCCACGTTTTATGGTTTTACGATTAACAAATCTAATTTCTGTAATTAAACAATTCAACCTATCCTGTATTTTCTACTAATACGACCTTACTATATCACTACATGAAGAATTTATTGCCAAATATTTATTTATTAAATAATAAATAAAGTTAATATTCTTGAAGCTTCCACGGGTGCTTTCTATTATATATAAAAGTTATGCGGTGCATAACTTTTAAATAAACAAGGTTATGCTCATCTCAATGAAACTTGAGAACATCTAAATTCTAAAATCTTGTTTTACAGTGATTTCAGGCATAATCTAATAATGAATTTTCTACTAAATAGTTTTCAATCCAAGAGCAATAAATTCCTGGTGGAACCAATAGATAGCGTTTATTAGTTTAGCAAAAACGCCGCTATCTCATATTAGGCGCCTATCTTGTAATAGGGGGCTTTCCAAAGAGTAAAGAGTAATGGCTGCACAAACTCTTGCATAACGCACAATACATAGTACATAAAGGAATCAACTAATCGAAATTCTTCTTTTCCATGCAATGGGAGAAAAGGAAAAATTCTGATTAGTTGATTCTTATGCACTATACGTTATGCGTTTTCAAAAGTCTGTGCTACGGCAGGGAATGTATCAATAGTGGGGGAAATGTATTAACAGGAGGGAATGTATCAATAGTGAAGGTAGCTAAATCCACGGACGGATGTACGTCATGACAGCCATCTTAAGCGTCCACTTTTTTTGACGTTTATGCGACAGTTTTAACAGAAAAAAGATCTTGAGCAACAAAACAATTAATTATTAATAAATATTGTAAAGAGTGCCATTACCGGACATGTGGTGTAACAACTTCAGCTCGAAATTATACAAATGTATGTCATGGCAACCATCTTGAGCGTTTTCCACTTTTTATGCTAGTATATATAATCAGTTCCGTTTGCTTAGAACCAAACGTTTTCTCCTATTTTCCTTTACTTTTTGGGGCTTTCTTCTATATCTATTTACACGGAGTAAGGGACTCCGCATAATAAAGGAACAGAGAATAGAGAATAAGAATTTCAATCAGAATTTCATCATTCTAATTTCTATCAGAAACTGTGTATTCCACAATACATGATTTCTGATAGGTTGAAATTCTTAATATTCTCTGTTCTCTATTTCCTATTTTATTTATTGTACGGAGCCCCTAATAAGAAGGAGATAAAACTCAAGCGGTCACAATAAAAGTGAACTCGAAACTCGATGTAAGTCTGGTATTCATAGTCGGTTCTTATTTCAAGACCGTCTGAAATAATGTCTTAAGACGCTAATGCGGCTTTCTGATTGGTTCAAGATATCTTAAGATCGAATTTAAGACGGTCTTAAATATAAGAACCGACTGTAAATACCGGCCTAGAAAAATCCATGTCGGCCTAGAAAATTCGACAGATATAATTTTAGTGCCACGCCTTGCGGGAAAAGTTATAGCGTTTTCCAATGGAAAAACTGGTGCAACACTAAGTGTAACTGTGCTATTCCATTGTCAAAATTCAGTGTTTAATGTTCCATTGGCTTAATTTTCACCGAGGGTTTAAACCAGATCAGAATGTAAGAACCAACCAACTACAGTCGACCATTTGCCTGTCGTTCGACTGTAACAAGGGAATACTCGATTGTAGTTGGTTGGTTCTTACATTTTGATCCAGTTTAAACCCTCGGTAGAAATTAAGCGATTGATAAAATTGATACAAGAAGCACTTGCACTGAGTTCACCTTTTGCTCCACTGTCTTCAAAGTCAGTGGAGACCAGTGCAAGTTGAAATTAAGGTTGTGTTCATATAATATTATATGCTAAGGTATAATATTATGTTATAATATAATATTAGATTATTATATAATTAATCTCATAAATATAACATTGTTTAGTTTCAATATTACTAATAATAGCTATGCAATGACATTTTAATTTTTAAAATTCTTGAAATGTAAAATTTTTATTTTAAAAAATGTTTAAAATAAATAAATAAATCAGAATATTATAAAATAAGTAATTTAAGTTTGAATATAGTTATATTTTTAAGAGTGTTATAAAATGAATGTCAATAAAATAGATGCCTAATGATATATTTCATTGAACCGCATACACACTAAACCTGCATTATTACTGCATTAATGCAGTTTTTATTTAAACCTAGCACGGCGCTAGTGCTGCATCAGTTTTCCCAATGGAAAACGCAACTAGAAATACTAATAGTCACGTGGTTATAGGTCACGTGCGTGCGCGCGTGCGTGCGTGCGTGCGAGAACCTCTTCATTCGAGCGAAATTTCTTACCGGCGAGCATTTTCTTTAGGTCTGCGAACAGCCAGTAGTCGCTGGGAGCCAAATCTGGCGAATACGATGGATGTGGGAGCAATTCGAAGTTCAATTCATGTAATTTTACCATTGTTTTGATTGACTTGTGACACGGTGCGTTGTCTTGATGAAACAAAATTTTGCGTCACTCTTAGCACAATAACTCACAAAGTAATGAATAGAATATCATGAAATTTTAACAGCTGTCTTTTGAAGATTAGCACACACTGAAAAAGAGGTGAATGTAATAAAACTAGCGCCATCTCTGTGTTAGGCTCGGGACTTTTCAGCCCATGTGTATGTATAGTAGACACATACATGTGACTTGTGACTACGTGACAGTCAATACTTCCAACTTTTCCCGCAAGGCGTGATGTCAAATCACATCAGCCAGATTTTCCATGGATTACACCGTGTTTTGAACCCACTTTCAGACCTCGAGTTTTATCTCCTCATTACTCCGTGATCTATTACTTTCCGAGCAAGCAAGATGTTGATTGGCTGTCGCACCGACTTTCGCTGTGTAGCAAATGTTGTCGCGTGTGTGTAGGAGCCATAACGCAGTAAATACGATGCACATTAAAATCAGAATTACACATTTATATTATATTAGGTACAAAATAAAATTAAGAAATATAATTTCTATGTGTGTTTTATGTAAAACTAACACTCTAAACACAGATGTATTACACAGATGTTAACTTAACTCATTCGTAAGTAAAATTAACGTTTACAGTTATGTGGAGCATATGAAAAGCGAGGTTAGATCAACAATTATTGAGCGCGTTCAAGTTGACAAAGCGACTAGTCTGTTCGCCAAGCAAATAAGCATAATCGGTTGTTACTTATAGATCCAACCAATCATATTCAATCGCTTGGTAAGCATGCCTAGCCGCGTTGCTATCTTGAACTCGTCCATTGCACATTTATATTATTTATGGAAATTATTTAGTTTAACTACCCCACCTCAAAAATCGATAAAATTAGGCTTATTCAACGCATTTTTGCATGAAACGAAAGAATCTGACAAAAGCAACGCTCTGCCCTATGAGCCAAGATATTAAACGTTAAAATTGATAACTATTGAGGTTAGGAAATCTGTCACTGCCGCGAAAAAATACTGCATGCGATCATCTTTTTCATGCTCTGTAACCTCGTGTGAGATATTGAGTTAAAGTTGACCAAAGTGTTACGTAGTAATATTTCAGAGCCCTTGGTTACATAATTCAAATTAAAATTCAAACATCGTTCTATCTCCTTTTAGGTCTGTCAAGATGGGTTCGATGCTAATGCTCCATCCAATACTATATGTCGATGCATTCAATAAAAAATATAGGCAATAGGAACAGGAAATAACAAATTTTAACCCTAGATAACACATTAGAATGGAGAAACGCTTTCTGATAAGTTGAAATCTCTTATTCCCTATTCCTATTGCCTATATAAATAAAATAAGTTATAATAAATAAGAATTACTCCTCAAGAATTGCTTCTGCACTAAACTGCACTAGAACTCTCTTTCTCGCTTTCGACAAATATCAAACTGTGGAGACACATTCACATTTCCATACACACACACACACACACACATTCTCACATTCTTTCAGTTATGACTTATACTCATGTAGACATATATACTCCGCGACCAGATGGCACGCTCTCACGAACTTTCGCATCTAGATACACTCACATGATTATTCTTTCTTGGCTTCTTTAATCGTCCTTTTACACGACATCATCACTTTACATTGACGCAATAAGATATTGTATGTGTTAATAAACTAACGTTATTAGTTATGTGTATACCTGTGAATCTTTGTGCCATCCATTACCTACATTCATATGTAGCAATCCGCTACATAATTGATGGCCTTAACGTGATCTGCAGACGCAGCAACAGATCGCAACCGCAAACCGTACGATCGTCCGCCATTACTACTTACACGGCGAGCACGTGTCGTTAGCAAGGACGCCGCCACCAAACCTCCCGGTTAACGCATCAATGGGAGAGGAGGACGCACACATACACAACCAAGTTTCACGGACCATGCCTCGACACGAGGAATTCGGGGTAGAATTCAAACTCGTCCGACTGCTCATATTCTGGAAGAATCGCCCGAAGTTGTAGTTCATACAGTTGGAATCCGAGTTCCACACTTATCGCGTTAGATCGAACGATGCTAAATACAGCGCGGTTATTCGCCATCTTGACTTATTCGCCACGATGACCACAGTCACAGACATTCTGGAGAACGATAAGTATAATAAACTCAAAAAAACCTTGATCGCTAGGTTTACAGACTCGTAAGAAAAGCAGATGAGAACGCTCTTATTAGGCATCGAGCTCGGCGACAAAATACCATCACAACTGTTCCGTGAAATGAGAGTTCTAGCAGGGGAAAACGCCACTAAAGGCCTTCTACGAATCCTTTGGCAACAACGAATGCCTACTCGCATCCAGGAGATGCTGTTAATTTTCGATGGCGCTAATCTAGACAAATTAGCGGAATGCGCAGACAAGCTTTATGAACACCCTTCTTCGGTAGACATACATACAGCCCAGGCAATGTCAACGAATTACCAAGACACTATACAACAGTTGACCAAGCAAATAACTACATTGTCAACCCGGGTAGACAAGCTGGCTAAACGACCCTGATCAAGGTCCCGCAGCAGAAGCCGCACACGGCAACCGGGCAATACGTACAACACCGCAACAAAAGACACAGGCCAGTGCTATTATTACCAAAAATTCAGCAATCAACCACGCAAGTGCACGTCATCTTGCAGTGCACAAATAAAAGCAACCCAGGGAAACAAATAAGACCGCCGTTAATCGGAGTCCACAACGACGGTCTCGAGGTATCTCTCCGGCTCCACGTTACCGACAGAACAATGGGTCTGACCTTTCTCGTCGATACAGGCGCGAATGTCTCACTTTTACCATCGTCGGAAATCAAGAATATAGTCTAACGCCACTCATTCTATACGCTGTCAAGGCTCACAGATCAAAACGTATAGACAAAAAATACGCTGGACCTTAAAATACGCAGACCAATCACGTGGCAATTCACCGTGGCCGGCCCAACTTCACGCTTCACGCCTAGTAATAGGGACAGATTTACTCGAACACGGCTTGATAATGGACGTTTCAAGGTAAGCGTTTAATCGACAAGATAACCTAATTAAACGTTCCAGGTTTTAAACGACAAGTTGCCTACGCTTCCATCAAAACGATCGATTCCACTTCAACATACCACTACATCCTTGCGGATTACCCAAGAATCACCAAGGAACCACAGTTACCGACAAATAGAGCACATGAAATTTTTCACCACATCCAAAGTAAAGGTCCTCCAGTTGCCAGCCGACCGCGACGACTACCGCCAGACAAACTGAGAATTGCAAAAGCAGAATTCACACATTTGGTACAGCTCGGCATCTGCCGATCTTCCAATAGCCCTTGGGCGGCACCATTGCATCCGGTACCAAAGAAGCAACCCGGAGTGTGGAGACTTTGCGAGAGTTACCGAGGTCTGAACGCGGTGACGACCCCAGACAGATACCCGCTGCATCATATACACGACCTCGCCAACCATCTGCACGATAAACATATTCACCACGCTTGATCTAGTTCAAGCATATCACCAGGTACCTGTCCTCGAGGAAGACAAAGACGACGGTAACTACGCCCTTTGGTCTATTCAAATTCGTAACCATGCCTACGGAATGCAGTACAAACCAGTGACTCATGAATCAGGTCCTACAAAGTTTAGAATGTTTCGTTTACGTAGATGATGTGTGCTCATAGTTTCAAAAGACGAAGAACAACATAAAAAGGATCTGTCAGGTCTTTCAGCGACTCCAGAAGGCAGACATAACGATCAACCCAGCTAAGTACAACTTTGGGCAGAGAAACATACAATTTCTCAGACACGAGATCAACAGCGAGGGCATCAAACCTCGGGCAGACAAAGTAAAAGCAATTACAAATTTTATTCGACCAGAGACGATAATTCAATTCCGTAGATTTCTTGACATGTTAAACTATTATCGTCGTCACCTGAAACATGTAGCCAAAGCCAGAAACCGCTAAATGAGCTACTGAAAGATAGCAAGAAAAACGATAAAAGACCTGTACCTTGGAATGCTGAGACTATAGCCGCATTCGAGGCCTGCAAAGCGGAGCTCACAAACATTACCCTACTGGCACATCCGATCGAGGGAGTAACGCTGCTTCTCTTCATTGACGCATCGGACACTGCCATAGGAGCTTCATTAGAACAAGTGAGCAAGAATCAATTGTCACCTATAGCATTTTTTTCTACAAAAACTCAGTGACACACAAAAAAAATATAGCACGTATGATCGAGAGCTTCTTAACGATCTACGAAAGTATTAAATATTTTAAAGACATCCTTCAAGGTCGCATAGTTACTATTAGAACTAATCACAAGCCATTAACTCACGCATTCAGACAGCGATTAGACAAAGCATCACCTCGACAAGCTCGACAGCTAGATTTAATTGCTCAATTCACCACAAACATTATACATATCGCTGGACAGGAAAATATCGTTCCTGATACGTTATCACGCATCAACTTTATCCAAGTACCTGTAATAACTATCACAGAAGAACTATCCACGGAACAGACGAAAGATGAAGAGGTTCAAGAACTTTTAAAAGGCGAATCAGCTTTAGAGTTAAAAGAATTCATCATTATCAGGCTCAACCACTACTTTGCTGTGACTGCTCAAAAGGCGCCATACGACCTTATATCCCAGAAACTCTGAGGAAACGGATTTTCAACGCCGTGCATGGCACACCCCAGCGGCAGAGCTACCAAACATCAAATTGGACAAAAATTCGTTTGGTCGGGAATCAATAGAGATATCACTCATTGGGCACGTACCTGCCTTCAGTGCCAGCGTAGCAAAATCCAATGGCACACCAAAAACATACCTCAAAAGATTCCAATGTTAGACCAGCGTTTCCATCAAGTTCACCTTGATCTCATTGGTCCTCTCCCGGAGGTAAAAGGATATAGGATATTGTTTAACCATGATTGACTGCTTTTCCAGATGACCTGAAGCCATTCCACTTTCCATGACCGCGCAAACAGTTGCTGCAGCATTCATCGACGGCTGGGTAGCACGCTTTAGCACACCTACCGTTATCATTACTGATCAAGGCAAACAATTCGAGGCTAGTCTTTTCCAAGCATTCTCGAAATTCCTGGGCAGCAAGAAGACCAGAACGTCTTCTTATTATCCAGCGTCAAATGGTCTGATTGAGAAATAGCACCGCACCCTTAAAACTGCTATAACCTGCCACGAAGATGAGAGACAATGGCTCGACCTATTGCCTACAGTACTGCTAGGCCTTCACACATGCCTGAAAGAAGACCTGAAATGCTCTCCAGCGGAGTTAGTCTATGGCGCACCGCTGAGAGTACCAGGAGAATTTCTAGAAAACCGAGATCCTACAGAAGACACGGAGACCTTCGTCATAGCTCTTCGCAAACGCATACGACAACTCCTTCCACAACCAACGCAACACCATGGAAAACGGACAGCCTTCCGACAACAGCAATTAGAACAGGCCACACATGTTTTCGTCAAGGAAGACGGCATCTGAAAACCACTCCAACATCCTTATATCGGGCCACACAAAGTGGTACGTAGGGAAAATGAACATGTTTACGTGATCCATATAAATGGCTGTGACGTTGCCCTATCGACCGAAAGGCTGAAACCTGCCTTCTTACTTAACGCAGAAGAAGTACCTGAAGTGCCACAAGAAGAATCAACAGAAAACATGGCTGTGGCGCACCAATACACCAAAGAAGAAATGTAATAAACCTAAAAAAAGTACAATTCGCGCCTATTCATCCAGTCTCTCGGAGGGGAGTACTTGTGGAGACACATTTACACTTCCATATACACACACACACATACATTCTCATATTCTTTCAGTTATACTTCATGCCTTATACTCATATAGACATACTCGTACATAGTCCGCGACCAGATGGCGCACTCTCACGAACACTATACTCAATTTCCCATCTAAATGCACTCTCATGATTATTCTTTTTTGGATTCTTTAACCGTCCTTTTACACATCATCACTTTACATTGTCGCAATAAGATATTGTATGTACTAATAAACTAACGTTATTATTTGTGAATCTTTGTGCCATCCATTACCTACATTCATTATATGTAGCAATCCTGCAAAACATATATCTACCTCGTTTTAAATTTCTAAAGTGTACAGTTCAGCCACAGAAAATACATCTAATATTTCTCTAGATTTGAAAAGTTTAAGGCCCTGCACACAATGGAAGGAATAAGGAATTAAGAATAAAGAATAAACGATTTCAATCTATCAGAAACCGTATATTCCGATGTATCCGATTTCTGATAGGTTAGAATCATTTATTCTTTATTTCTAATTTCTTATTTCTTCTATTGTGCGAAAGGCCTAATTTTCAAAGTTTTAAGTTATACACATTCTGTACAATACATAAAGGAAAGATGCTTATTATGAAATACCGAGTATATTTTGGGTAAATGCTAGAAGACTATGGCCAGAATGTAAAAAAATAATAGGTCTATAATAATATTTTGAAAGGAATTTAATAAGCCTTAAGATAATGTTATCCCCTGCCTTAAAATAATTTAATTCAAATTTTATTTATTTTTTTTAATTAAAGAAATGTTAAAAGTAAACAAATCGCAGTCTAAAAATTATGCTCCTAATATGAGATGCCTCGAGAAATCGAAGGTATAAAATGCAAAGTGCATCAGCAATTAAAAAAACTTTATTCAATGTTTCTAAAGTACAAACAAACACAGTATTGGGCACAGTCAGTACACAATCAGTGTGCGCGAAAAATGAATATGCGATGGATTATACCCAGAACTTGTCTTCAGGTAGTTGAAACCAAGCATCGCAGAAATAAGCACTCTATGTTCATGTTCATTCCGGTCGTTCTTTTTATTATTATACAATAATATTTATGCTTTGGTAACAATTTTCATTAAGACATAGGAGCATACCTTATTTCATATTAGAAATACCGTGGGTATCTCATATTATGATTTCCATGCCTTACGGTTTTACAATCATCAAATTTGACTTCTGTAATTAAACAATTCAACATATTTCGTATTTTTCTATTAATACGACCTTACTCTATCTACATGAAGAATTTATTATCAAATATTTATTTATTAAATAATAAATAAGATTTAAAGGCTCACGTCAACTTGAAGACATCCAAATTCTAAAATCTTTTTTTACAATGACTATATACAGGCATGATCTAATGAATTTTCCACTAAATGGATTTTAATTTAAAAGCAATGAATTCGTGGCGATACCAATAGATAGCGTTTATTAGTTTAACAGAAACACCGCTATCTTATATTAGATGCCTATCTTGTAAGAAGGGGGGCTCTCTTCTATATATGCTGTAATATATGTATTATATATATTAGGTGTAGTAAAAAGTCATCGCGTATTTTTTAGCTCAAAGTTGTATATACAATATCTTCGTCAATAATGAATGAAATTCAAATTTAAAAAAAGTTTTAAAGCTTGAAATCTCTACTTTTAAAAGCTTATCACATTTTTTAAGTTTATATGAGTTTGATAATTTTTACATACCAAAAACTACGAGCTGAAAAAGACGAAAAATTTTCTTCTCACTTTGTGGATTTGTAACGTGTCCAAAACGAATTTGAGAAAATTTTCGATTACATATCGTGAAAGCTTGATACTTTCCCTACAAAATCGTTTTTTTTTTATATTCCTACGACTTTTGATTACTGAGTTATCGCGGATTAAATAAAAGAATTATTTTGACTTTAATTGCTCATAACTCCATTAAAAATTGTCGTATCGTATAATTTAAAAAAGAGATTTTTAAAGCTGAAACTTTACTCTATTAAGATATATTTATATTGTTGGTAAGAAAGTAATTGCGATTTTTACTGATAGATATCTTTTAAAAATACGCGATGACTTTTTACACCTATTATATTTATCACTTTTTAAACTTCTAATTAAAATATTAGTTTATTTTGATAAAAATAATTTCTGAAGAGCACTAATTTATTGGCTAAAACATAAATCAATACGATTCGTTCTTAATTTTGGTTGTGCCGTATACAAATAAACCATTATTTTATATAAAAGTTATGCATTTCGCGGATTTCCTCCGTGTCCAGATCTATTCTTGGAATGCCAACGTTCCGTGAACTTTGCAATTCACTTCGTCAGGGCGAAGAGTAGCCTGATACTGAGCCGCTCCTTTTTATATTACGCTACTTGTTGGAGTGATGGGGGGGAAGAAGAGAATTGTGGGTAAAGGCAGGGGGAAGAAAAACCTAAAAAACTAGAAGTTTAGTTTCGTTATGTAGACGACACATTCGTGACATGGAGACATGACAGAGCCGAACTCCGTAAATTCCTTATTTTCCACAACAATCAACATCCAAATATCTACTTCACTATAGATATAGGGGAAAACGGAAAACTCCCCTTCCTAGATGTTCTTGTCTCTAAGAAAGCTATAGAAAACACACAGATAGATACCTACATGCCGAGTCGCACCACTACCCATCATAGAAACAGTCTGCAATCAACTCACTTGTACTTTCACCATCTCTGACAAAGAATATCTACAGACAGAATTCAACCATTTAAAACTAGTCTCAATACACAATGAAAAAAACGGACGACAAAAAAGACATAATCAAAACAATCAATGAACATGCAAACAAGATAACGGTCTCTGATACACAACCAGACGAAAAGATTCTATCCATTCTCCCGTATATCAAAGGAACAACAGATCGCATTGGCAGGATATTAAACAAACACAATATCCGAATTATCTTTAAACCACCTAAAAAGATAGGACAAACCTTAAGAAATCCTAAAGATCAAAGACTTCCACTCAGCTCCGCAGGAGTATACGAGTACAAAATACCTTGTTCCTGCGAATAAGTATACATTGGAGAAATCGGGAGAATGGTCAATCTACGGATAAAAAAACACCGACGTGATGTCAAGCTAAAACACGTCACACAATCAACATTATCAGAACACAACATCGAAACAGTAAATTAAATACTGTTTGATAAAACGACTACAATAGCCAATATTACTTCATACTTTACAAGAAAGTATAGAGAAGCCATAGAGATACAAAAACATCCTAACAAACAATCTAAATAGAAATAATGGCTACAACATAAATAAAATAAACCATTCTCCTGGTTATTCAAGCTCGACCAATTCCCCCCCTCCTTTCCTCCCACATGCTCTTCTTTCCCTCCACCACTCCAACAAGTAGCATAATATAAAAAGGAATTCAATATGGCTGACTTCTAATAGAGAACAAGGATGCAGACACAATAGAAGAAATAAGGAATTAGGAATAATGATTTCAACCTATCTATATATACCGGTATATCCGGTTTTTGATAGGTTAAAGTTATTTCTAATTCCTTATTCCTTCTATTGTGTCTGCAAGTCTGTTTTTTTTTTCAATTAAACTTCTTGCTTGAAGAAGTAACTATGAAGTTATAAATCTAAAAATAATAATTTTATTAGTTTAAATTATATTTCTTTTTTATTAATTTATAACAATAGTAAAAGTAGTTCAATTGTACTTATATAGACGCAGCTCATTGTCAGTTGCACTTGTTACAGATCGTGAATGTTGCTCAGTCATATTTGCATCATTCATCTTAGTATTAACTGTCTATATATTACATATATTTACATTAGGTACTGCATTATGTTTCAGTCTTCATACTTCATAGATATATTATTTGCGCGACGTCTTCTGCGCTTGACTCCTATATTGCCCGTATCCTTTCCAGTTCTTTATATATTAATATATTCTATTTATTTATATAGAATTAATATATTCTGTCTAGCTGCGCCAGCAAGCTAAATCTTAGCTTAAGTGCTAGATGCAACAATATATATA